TGCAGGGCTGCTAAATATTACATTGAAAATGTTCACTCATTTAACAAAAATATCATTTATCAGTCTTTTTTGAAGTTTCAGAATTCTCAGCTGTATAGAGACATTTCTAGCACTTTTCTCAATAATATTGATCCATTTCTAGCAAAGTAATTATAGATGTTTATTGTAAAAACCACATGGCATGTGTTTTCCAGCTGTATTTTGGTCGCAAATGTCTGTATGGTGATATACTTGCATTGTTTCCCCCACAGCCGAGGTATAGCCTGAGAAGTCGGAAATCTTTGTGTGGTCCAGAAGTTAGCAGAGTGAAGGACTGGTGCAGAATATCAGGAAAAGGTTTGATTTCCATCTAAAGATCTGATCCAGTGAATAACAGAGATACCAGATCATCAGAAAGCTCTAAAACCTCTGAAAGATGGGAGATCTCAGACATTTCATCCATTCTGAATGTATGCTTCCTTTTCAATCTTTATTTGTTCCGTCAGATGTTTTGTTTTTATATATCCAATAAATAAATTCCAGTGTAACAACTGAAGGTTCAACTTGATCTTTACTGCAAGTATGGCAGGTTACTTGTTTATCTGACTTTCTAAGCAAAACTGACATCTAATGGCCAAACTGTGTAATGGACGCCAACAATTATAGAAAAGGCTCAAACCACCTTCCTAGTCAAATACTGTCATCACTGTAGTTAGTGGGGGTCAGGTCCTTTTTGCTCCTTTTTTTAGGTTAAAAGTGGATTGAATTCTGTACTATATATGACACATGCAGGAATAGATTTAGAATGGTCTGTATGTCATTATAACTCCAATGATTAAGCAGTGATGATAAACATGCAAAAAATGTATTGCATAGAGAGACGCGTGAAGAGATCCAGTCCTGCAGCTGGACAGACTCTACTGACTCAGCCCGTACGAACTCAACTTATATAAACATTGCCGAATTTGATGGCGCCCTTTCCACCCATAACATGCTCATTTATGGGAAAACACACTCAGAAGGTTCACACTGCTGACAGAAAGGCAAAAAGTCGGGTTAATCTCACAAAACCTGTCATGGACATGTCAGAGGTATTTTTACTCCAAGATCATAAATTATTTTTAAAAAGATACATTATTTATTGACATCTATTGTTAGGACCATTAATGTTTTTGAATTGGTTTTGAATTCTGTGTGACATTATTTCCATGACAAATTAAGCATTTCTCTACAAATGACCATAATCCAAAAAAGAATTAAAAAAAAAAGTCATGGTAATATTTGTTTTGCTGCTTCTCATTTGTTCATTTTCTAGAAATGTGTAATACCAATTATTATTTAGTGTGATATGTTGTGGTATTCAACCATTGATTATTCAAACAATGCATCATTTGCCATTAAAGGAGTAGTTCACTTCCAGAACAAAAATTTACAGATAATGTACTCACCCCCTTGTCATCCAAGATGTTCATGTCTTTCTTTCTTCAGTCGTAAAGAAATTATGTTTTTTGAGGAAAACATTTCAGGATTTCTCTCCATATAATGGACTTCTATGGTGCTCCCGAGTTTGAACTTCCAAAATGCAGTTTAAATGCAGCTTCAAAGGGCTCTAAATGATCCCAGCCGAGGAAGAAGGGTCCTATCTAGCAAATCGATCAGTTATTTTCTAAAAAAATTACAATTGATATACTTTTTAGCCTCAAACGCTCATCTAGCTCTGCATGAACTTAGCTTTTTCCGGTCCAAGACAGTTAGGGTAGGTCTAAAAACTCCCATCTCATTTTCTCCTCCAACTTCAAAATCATCCTACATCGCTGCAGAAGTACCGATCCAGTGTTTACAAAGTGAACATGCAAAGAAGATCAAATGCCCTTTACAAAAAAGCCCCCGGCAAACCAGCGATGTAAGACGATTTTGAAGCTGGAGGAGAAAATGAGATGGGAGTTTTTTGACATACCCTAATTGTCATGAACTGGAAAAAAACAGAGCTCTTGCAGAGCTAGACAAGAGGAGGTTAAAAAGTATATAAATTGTCATTTTTTTAAAAGAAAATAACTGGTCGTTTCGCTAGATAAGACCCTTCTTCCTCGGCTGGGATCGTTTAGTGCCCTTTGAAGCTGCATTTAAACTGCATTTTGAAAGTTCAAACTCAGGGACACCACAGAAGTCCATTATATGGAGAGAAATCCTGAAATGTTTTGCTCCAAAAACATAATTTCTTTACGACTGAAGAAAGAAAGGCATGAACATCTTGGATGACAAGGGGGTGGGTACATTATCTGTAAATTTTTGTTCTGGAAGTGAACTACTCCTTTAAGGGTTGTACAGACAATGTGCTATTCATGACATATCATGACACCCAATTAGATCCACCCAAATTCAAAACTGGCTAAAAGTTCAGCCCCCCTTTGAAACATTCTCAACTTGAGCTACTGGTGCAATGTAGGTCAAATGGGACAGTCCATGTTTACAACCACTTTAGCTCTCCTCCAAAACCCACATAGTTTTATGGGGTGTAAGTGTTTATTTATGAATTTATGAAATATAAACGATCTCCCCGATTGGGATTTCTTTTCAGAAAGGGGGAACGTTCCAATCCTTTTGAAAGTTTTTCCTTTGCATCAGATTTCAAGCGCAGACCCTTAGGAAAAGAAAGAGAGAGAGGGATAAAAATGAGAAACAGACTTTGGGAAAAGAGGAGAGAGATGGAGGGGGTTGAAGCTCGGTTTCATATGTCCTGCAGGAGGAGGAGGAGGAGGAGGAGGTTTTCAGTTTAACACACTTTGGCGTTGTAGAGTCCCACAAAAGAACAGACAAGCAACCGGTGGAGAGCGACAAGAGCGGAGCTGTAACGTTTCAACATTGTAACAATGTAACGTTGCGACATTGTAACATTTGTTTTGTTTGAGGATCCCGCTTAAAATACACGCCGACATTCGAAAGGGGTTTTCAAACAGCGAATGTGGATTGTGTTTGAAGCAGCTGAGTGTGCATTTTTTGGGGGATACGGTTGTACCGAAAGGAAACGGGGGGGGGAAAACCCGTCGGGATAATAACGACAATATGCGGCGCCGTTTACATTCCGCAACCAGAAGTTTAGCGAAGGCGAAATTGGGAAAGTTAGTTTTAAAACGCGAGTGTCAGAACCTCTTTTGCTTTGGAAACGTCATGTGATAATGATCATCTCTTCTGTTATGGATTTATAGCGTTCTGCACATTCTGTAACCGCGACACTGTAAATGGCATAAGAAGATGATGGAATTTCACAAAGGTCATTTGACAAAAGCGCATTGGGAGCTCTTTATATCACGTTTGCTTGGACTTGTATGTGGTTCTGGTTAAACCGATCGTTGATGGCTGTTTCTGTTCGGATTTACTCTCCACCGGCTGATCAGGGGGGATCGATCCGCCTGATTCACCCTCTCCAGCATCTACAGGAGGACGACCTCGGGACGCGAGAGTGGCTGGTGGTTTTGGACCTGGACTGTTTCGAAGATTCGGCTTTTATAGCTGGACCTGGATCATAAAGCTCATTCACTGGAAACCGTCCGCGTCTTGTGTCCTATATGCCTGCGTGAGGGTTTCGCAGGCAGGGATGCAGTTGAATCGACCCAAGAGCGCGCATCTCATCAGCTCCAGTCCGCACAATTCATCCTCCTATTCCAGCCAGTTCAAAAGCATGCGCTTCTCATACCACATCAGCAGCGGGTTACCCAGCCCACAGCCTGCCCTGCGCAGATCAGGTGAGTCTGGAGCTTAGTTAAGGTTAGATGCTCTGTACGTGTATCCGTACAGAGAGATTTGGTTTCGCATGCAGTTCTGCCAAAGCATCATTACAAATAACAGAGGTGACATTGATGTATGCACATGCAGATGTGTCAGTGACAAATAAGGATGATAGGAAGGAGAATTTGTGTAAAAATCAAGTTTAATGTGCCAACGTCTTGGAAAAGTAATATTTAGCATTGTTGGTGTCAATGTTAATGTTGAAAAGTTTCAAGAAAAGGGGATTTAATAACTCTCTAAAATGTCAAGTGATGTAACCACTGTTCTCAAATGTATATTTTTTAAAAAGTTTCAATCGTAAATTACAGTATTTGAACATGGCTTTTCATTAAAAGGTCAAAATATGATATTTGATATATGATAGCCCAGTCACGAAGTCCTGTCTGTTTTGATGGTTTTCTTGTCACATGACAACAAAATGGCTTCCTGTGTGTTGGTTATGCCTCACTGTTTTTAATTTGGATGGCGTTTTTTATATATATCAGCGTTTATTTTAATATTAATATTTTAAATCAAAATTACATAACTGGGGTAAGATTTTTTTCAAGGTCTTTGTGCTCACAAAGGCTGCATTTATTTGATAAAAATACAGTAAAATATTTAAGTAATATTGTGAAATATTACAGATTTAAATAACTTTTTGATTTCAATGCTTAACCGCTTTAAAAAAAAATTAAGAAAAAAAATTAAAATATTTTAAAACAGATAAATGCATTTTAAATCGGTCATATTTAGGCTACCTTTTATTACTGTTTACTTTGTTTGATTATGCTGAATTAACGCTTTTTTTATACAAATAATAATTTAAAAATGAAATATGCCAAACTACTTATGAAGAAACAACATTTCTTTGAACAAGAATTTTATTGTTTTAATATGACATTTTGTCTTATTTATAATCTCTGGATGGTTACATCACCTTGACATTTTTTACTTTAAAAGTGCAGAAAAAAAAATATCAAAAGGACATTTATTCAGAAAATGAAAACATGTTTATCATAGAAGAGGTTCATTAGAGTCATTTTTTTGTATGAATTGCTTTTCTTTATTTCACTTTTTAGATCCGGACTACAAAAACGATCATCATTGACCCATACAGTATATGTATATAGCTAATGATCTGGTAAACCAAAGCTTGCAGGTTCAAACCCCACAATGGTAGATCTATTAACTGTGACCATTGTGTCCTTGAGTAAGACTCTTAACTTTAGCTGACTCCAGAAGAACAGAAGCTTTTTGCTACATTTTTACTACAGTTCTACAATTGCTACGCCAACACATCAGACCAATTAACGACAACTCAGTCGCATGACAACCCGGCTATATTATGATAATATAAAAGAACAGACATACATCATTTTTACATAGAGTAAATGAGCACACATTGTGACCCTGTAAATTGCTTTGGATAAAAGCTTCATCTAAAGTAACACGTGTTGATGTGAATGGAAACATAGATGTTGAATGCTTGGAATTCTTGATGTGTTTCTCTCTGAGAGTAAGCTTTGGCTCCGGATGTCTTCAAGACTAGAAAAATGCCACCACTCCAGTCCTTGTGTCTAGCATGTTGTGTAGGCGCTTGTCCCAGAACAATTACCCGTACACTATATTAAGGGGCGGCCAAGCTTATTTGAATGATTACCAAAATAAATCAGCATTTGTCTTATTTGTCCTACACAGCATAGAAGCAATTGTGCTCTGAATGGATGGACCTGAAGACAAGGTCATCAGTCAAAGTGGCATAATGTATTATCCTGCCACTGCATGTTAGTCTCAGAGGACGGCTTGTCACTAAATCAATGCTCAACGTTCCGAGTGACATTTTCATGTGATTCCCAATTTTAAGGAGATAGTACTCCTGTATAAAGAGCATGCAGTGAGTGTCTTGATAATACAGTGCAATATATTCCAGTTTGCAGCAGCCACAGTAATCTGTGTAGATAAGCATGTGTTGGTGATCCAGTTCGTCAGATGTTGGTTGTGCATGTAATGATATTCACATGCTCTGCTGCTCACTTGCTGATAAGGCAACAGTGGAGACCTTGAAGCGGAGCCTGACCGGAGTCCCTTTTGGTGTTACACTGCCATGTTTGGTGTTTGGTGCTATGCTGCCACTGCCATGTTTGTACTCGGGTGTGTGGTTACTTGAGGGTCTGTCAGTTTGGGATATTTACTCAAGCATTGCGCTGTGAAATCCAATTAAATGCGTCTGGAGTTCACTTCAGTTCAGTGGGTCTCATCTGTGCTGACCACCAACTCACTCTTGGCTTTCAGAAACATGTCAGCGGGGTTTGATGCACTGGAAGGCCAAACACATGAAGAGTTGTCCCCGGTGAATGTCTTTCTTTAATAACTCGTGGCATTTGCTCAATCTATTACCCTTGAAGAGCTCCTGTGGTGAAAATCAAGTTGTTCACATGTCTGTAATATGGTGTTTTTTAAAGGGATGGTTCACCACCAAAATTAAAATTCTGTCAATTTCGCACACTCAGGTTGTTCCAAATCTGAGTTTCTTTCTGTGTTGAACACAAAAGAAGATATTTGTTGGTAACCAGACAGTTGCTGGTAGCCATTGATAGTATGGAAAAAATACTATGGAAGTCAATAGCTACCAAATGTTATTTTCTCGATCAGGATTTGAATTCAAATCATAAAAATATTGCAAACCATAACAATGTACCCAACATAGTTGACTGGCAATTAATATACTCCTTGACAATAGCTAATTGGAGATCAAATATAGAAAAAAATAAGAGGACATTTAGCATAATGTGTTCAAAATGCTGGCTGCAGAAGAGAATTGCATCACATGATTCTGGTCACATAGATTTATGATAATTTTATTTATTTTTTTCCCTCAGGGGGTGTTTGGTTAGTAACATAGTTGACAGAATTTTTGTGGACAAGAATTACTGGTAAATTAAATATTTTCTCATTTGAAAGAATAAAATGAAATGTTTTCTTATTTGAAAGAATTTTTTTTTTTAACTTTTTTAGAATTTTTCCAAGATATTTAGATTGTAGAAATAAATTTAATATAGATAATCTTGACTGTAACATTTTTTTGTTCATTATTTTGAACAAGACTCGCTCAAATCAAAAAGCAGACTTTGCAAAAAATGTATTTTAAGGCAATTTCAAGCAAACGGAAAATCTGCATGCACAAAATATTGGTGTGAGATTTTTGTATGTATTCACTTAATTGCTAAAATATGATATTTCTAGAGAAAATTGTTAGTAAAAACAATTATCATCAATGGACATGAAATGTACCCTAAATTATAGAATGACCGAAGCATTAAATTCGGCATGAAATGGAAGTTGCGTTTGTTTGTCTTTTCTTCCCTATTGTCTAATTTGATTTCATGGTGACTTTAAACTTTGGTGCTGCTGTATTTGCATATGAATGTTGCTTTAAATTGTGTGGCTTATACATAGCTGTTGTTGTGCAATGCATGATGATGTCTTGTTCAGTAAGTCTGTGTAATTCAGTAAAATGAATGCATCCCAGCACATCAGAAATAATATGATGTTGAGGTTAAAGGGATAGTTCACCCAAAAATGAAAATGTGATGTTTATCTGCTTACCCCCAGAGCATCCAAGATGTAGGTGACTTTGTTCCTTCAGTAGAATACAAACGAAGATGTTTATCTCAAATCGTTGCAGTCTGTCAGTCATATAATGTAAGTGAATGGGAATCACGGCTTTGAGAGTCAAAAAAACATACACAAACAAAACCAAATTAAACCCTGCGGCTCGTGACGATACATTGATTTGTAAAGACACGAAATGATCTGTCTGTGCAAGAAACTGAACAGTATTTATATCGTTTTTTTACCTCTGATTCACCGCAATGTCTGAACTGTCATGAGCGCATTCTCAACAGCCGGCGTGTGAAGCGTCTTCTTCTTCTTCTTGCTCAATGTATCGTCACGAGCCGCAGGGTTTAATTGGGTTTTGTTTGTGTATGTTTTTTTTTACTCTCAAAGCCGTGATTCCCATTCACTTACTTTACATGACTGACAGACTGCAACGGTTTGAGTTAAAAATCTTCGTTTGTGTTCTACTGAAGAAGCAAAGTCACTTACATCTTGGATGCCCTGGGGGTAAGCAGATAAACATCAAATTTTCATTTTTGGGTGAACTATCCCTTTAAAGAAGAAAGAATGAATGTGGAGTCGATATAGTCTTGTGGCTGATTTAATGCAAGAGGAGCAAAATGATCTCGCTTGGACTCGTGAATGGGATCAGTTTTCATGCATAAAAATAGCATGTGGGTTTTCTATCCTCGTTAACATATGGGGTCATTGGGTTTTTGCATTGTTAGCCTAAACTCACTTGGATCTGATATAATCAATATAACTTCTGTATCAAATGTGTTTGAACACTCTTCAAGTGTCTGTTAAAAGATTTGCAATTTAAAGAGGGTTTAAATTTATGTGCATTCTTTGCATTGAGTTTATTTATGTAGTATGTATGTATTTTTTAATGTTTTTGAAATAAGACTCCTATGCTCACAAAGGCTGCATTTATTCATTTGGGTAAAAATAGTAATATTGCGAAATATTATTACAACTTAAAATAACTCTTTTCTATTTGAATATATTTTAAAATGTAATTTATTCCTGTGATGCAAAGCTGAATTTTCAGTATCATTACTCCAGTCTTCAGTGTCACATGATCCTTCAGAAATCACTCTAATATGCTGATTGCATTATTACATTATTATTATCAATGTTGAAAATAGTTGTTCTGCTTAATATTTTTATTAAAAAAAACTGATCTTGAAAACTTGCATATTACCATTAGTTTAATGATGTTTTGTTTTGGATATGGTGCATTGGTAGTATTATGTTTTTTTATGTAACAAGCCAATGGCATATTTTCTGAAGTACAATGGCGTATCATATAAATAAATATTTTAATCATTCAGTAGTACTGTGGTGCTATTATCATTTGATACCATTATTGCACCATGATTTTACCACAGTATTTTTTTTAACCGGAAGACCTCAGTGGAAACTTGTGCTTCTCTTCATTTTAAGAATATATGATCCTTCATCCTTATGTAGAAATAATGGCAGAAACCATATTTCACACCATGTTTTCTGTGTTCTGTTTGCCTTGGATGAAGGAGTTTCATTGGAAAATGTTGGATTGTAAGGGAAGAACGTGTTGCAAAAACTTGGACCCGTCTATTCTTAACAGGGTGTGTATCTGCGTAACGCAGCCCGAGTACGATCAGCCCCATAACTCCCATGATCATTGTCACATAGTTTTGGAAGACAATCTTATCTCCTCCCAGACAGTTATCACGGGTAGCTGTAAGCGAGAAAACTCTAGCTCTTTCACTTCTCAGCGTTCAGAGCGGCTGAATTGCTGTTATTATGACGGCGTGAAAGCACAGCATCATTGGTCAACGGCCAAATCGGTAGATGAGTAGGAAGTCTGTCTGGCTGCTCGGCCTGGCGCTCTCTGTGGAGAATTACACTTGTGTGAATGAGCCAAACTCTTTGTAAATCTCCAGAGCGCCGTTAAAGAAACAGTCCTCGAGATGTATCCATATATAGGTTGGGAAAGAAGGAAACTGACTGTAATGGCTCTCTGAACCTTAAGGAAGCCCCGTATGCAAAACAGAGCCCTCTTGGCCTCTTTTATAAACAGAGTAAGGATAATACATTGTTTACTTGAACTCATCCTAGTTTGATCACAAACAGCCAGGCTCCAGAAGTTAAAATCCCACTCGTTTGCTTCTCCGTGAAAATGCTTTTTAGCAGTAACGTTTGAACCTTTCCAGACAGACCTACCACGAAATCCCAGGTTGTTAGGTGATGTTTTATGTTTCTTTGCAAACCACAAGTAAGTGTGATAAATTACGCAGAATTGCTCCGCAAAGACCGCCCACTCCCATGATGCACTGCTGATGGCATAATCGAGTCCATCTCCCTAAACTCCCCGAACTGCTTACACTATAGCTGTCAACAAGTTTGGAATAATTAACCATTTTTAATGTTTTTGAAAGAAGTCTCTTGTACTTCAACCAAGACTGGGTTTATTTGACCAAAAGTGCAGTAAAAATGGGGAAATATTATTGCAATTTGAAATAAGTGTTTTCTATTTGAATTTATATTTAAAATAAAATGTATTCCTGTGATGCAAAGCTGAATTTTCAGCATCATTACTCCAGTCTTCAGTGTCACATGATCCTTCAGAAATCATTCTAATATGCTGATTTGCCACTCAACAAACATTTAATAAAATTATATTTTAAAATATGTTCTAATGAAAAAGTTATTTTAAAATGTAATATTTAACAATATTACTGTTTTAACTCTTTTTGATCAAATAAATACAGCTTTGATCAACAAAAGAGACTTATGTCAAAAAAAATTTAAATTATTATTTCTTTTTTTTTTTAAATATGATTATCTTTTGACTTGTAGTGGATGTATATGAACATATCTAAATGCAAAAAAATTTAAATATACATTTTTATGCTTGCTAATATATTAACAATATATGTAGTATGACCCAAGTTTTATATTATGTACTTTTATGTTAATATTTCAAAACTGTTACCTATGTCAATGAAAGTGCTCCATGGTTTTGTACTAGGTTTTTGTGATTGATTAATTGATTGATTGATTTAAAGTTTGTAATTTTGTGATTAATCTTGGAGCTGTTAGTTTGTTTAATGTCCCAGTGGAGAAAATGAATAGGAAAAAATACTTCCAGGTTCAAGGTCACTGAAAAGTGGACAGTTACTGTTGTGCTCCACTCATAGTATCATCTTCCTTGCTGAGTAACAAATTCTGTGCGCAGTCTAGTCAGACTTTCTGTAATTTTGTTATTTGCAACCTACGCAATGCAGAACTTGAAGGATAAATCTATTCTCTTGTATTGTTTTTCAAACTTCTCTTTCAAAGTTCTGAATCATTTTGGCAGAATCAGTGACAGAAAGAAATTTGATCAGATAGAAATGTGAAAGCTTAAATCCTGGCCTTCATAAATGCTTTGCTGACCTCAGCCTCTGGAACAATGGCAGCACAGCTATGCCTTCAGTTCAGCAGACGTACCCTTTAAAGGGGTCATAGGATGCTACATGCACTTTTTGAAGTAGTGGGAGGGGCCACACAGACAGGCCCCTCCCACGATAGTTTGATTGACAGTAGCGTTTCAGCACAGACTGGACTGGTGTCTTACCTTAGCTCCGCCCTGAGTGACTGTCATCAGTCCGCCATTGTTTCACCGCCGGAGCAGATGTAGACAAGAATGACTCCTAAGCGATTTAGGTGTTCTGTTGTTGGATGTAATAATGAACATAGAAGTCG